GATGGAATGGAAACGGCCGCTGATAAGGACGAAAAGCGGCGATGGAGCAGGATTTGTCGGTGATTTTGTTTGTCCTCCCGAGGGACACCACCGACAGAGCCGCCATAACTTGTAATTGCGTCGAGGGCTTTGCCTTTGCGCCGGAAAAAAAAATCATGCCCGCTGACATAATGAAAGAAAGAAGAAGTTTGCTCAGTGTTATTGAAAAGAGGCGGAGACACGCAACTGGTGATTGAAATTAATTTTTCAAGAGATCGACGCCATTTGCAGCTCTCTCGTGTTTTTCGCATTTAATTATTTTCACTCCGCCGGTTTTGAATTAATGAGAGCGATGTGGCGGCGCTCTTGAGTTGCTCGTTATTTTTTTTTCTTCTGAATCGACTCCTGCGTTTTTGACTAAAGCTCCTTTTTGCATTACGGTTCAACCTGGTGATGAAAGGCGGCTTTTGTTTCAAATGAAACTCGATACGTTTCACGCCGGTGAATGCGACGGAATTAGTGCGAAAAAGGTCGCAAGAAACGTGAGAGATAGAGGACAAGAATATATTTTTTTTTTTTTAAATCCGGATGGGACGAAAAGGGAAACGCCAGGTATAAAACGAGAAGGATCGGAAGCGAAAAAAGCGGCGCAGACAAAAGGGACGGAAAAGGTCCTTTCGCCGAGCAGGAAAGGCAGTCTAATCAAACTCCTTTGTTTTCTGTTGCAAAACCCTGTTTTCTTTCATAATGCACAAAAATAAATACAATGAAAAAGACTTGACATGTTGCGAGCAAAAAAATAACAGACGGAGAAAATCAGAGCTCGTCGTCGGAAAGCTCTTAACTCACATTGTCCTGTTTGCGTCCATATTTTATGCATGCAGTCTGGAGAGTCAGCCGGCGTCAGCTGCAATGCATTCAAGCAGGCGCGGTACTGCATTGTCGCAAATTGCTCACAATGCATTTCGCCAAAGAGTGAGAGACGCTGGAAAACGGCGAATAACGACCGTCTCTCCGGGAAACAAACGAGTCTGCTTTGCGGTTGTGCATTCCAGAGGCTTTCCGAGTGGTCGCTTTCAGTCCGACTAATGACTTGAGAATTAACATCTTGAAGAGGAAATTGAAAAATATGGGGAATTACGAAACTCTGTTAGAATGAGAGACAAAATAATTATGTTCTTTAAATTAAATCTCTTTGGTGGGTAATTAAAGTAAAAATTTGTGAAAATCTTTATTATTTTCATTAATTTATAAATAATTATTAATAATGTGGCAATATTTTAATTTTAATTGAGAGCATTTGAGTCGACATTTATTAATGATTTTGTATAATTTTAAGCTATTTGAAATTTAAATAAATAAATCTTTGATAGAAATAAATATCATTCAATAATATCATATAAAATTAAAAAATAATGTTCTTCAGAAAACTATTGAATTCTACCCTGCATCATGTATTTAATTTTATTATAAACTCCTTCAAAAATGTTTCACATTTGCATTGTTGGTTTATATTAATCAAATTCTGAGTCATCTAATCTGTTTACTGTTCCGATTATAAATAATTTTTTCAGAAAATTATTTGGTGCGTGATTTCAGCGAAATTGTGGAGCTCGTTTTTCTTGGTACTGCCTTCTGTGTGGAACGCATTTCGTAATCGAATTTTCGTGTCTTATTATGCACGAAATGAAAGCAAACGGCTTATCCGGTGGAGGAAGGCAAACAGCCGTTCCGTTGCGTAGCTGGCATTGATTTTGAACATACTTTATTAACCTCGAATCAGGTCGGCGTATTTTTCCACGGATCAATATCGGGCAGGTGAAAGAGAGAAAAAAAGCCAATCCTTTTCTCTCTGTTGTTTTTTGGAATAAATACACAAATGAAGAGACGAGTTTGTGTGTGCGGCACACGCTGCGGCATTGATTTTGGTGCCGCAGGTCAGCCCGCATTATTGGCCAATCAGAATTGATAAATCAGAGCAGCCGGGGGATGAGGTAGAGGGTGTCATCGGGCTCAATCAGCGCGCCCGTCATGTCCGTTGTTTCACTTGGCCCGCTTGCTATCACTGATTAGAATTAACGCCGCAAAATTGTCCAATTTATCAAGGAGGCTTTTGGCATGTAGTGCTGATGGATTGCACGCGTTAAGTGTTACACGCGGTGATGAATGCAAAGCGTTGCGTGCCTGCCGGCTGTGAGGAGTGAAAATATAGGAAAAATTCGCTCTCTGTTGTGCATTTCAGTGCTGGCAGATAAGATTTTACATTTGAAACTGACGTTTTACACGACACTTTACCAGCACTCTCTCTTTTTATGGAAATTGATAAGCTGGAAGCCTTGGTTTATAAATAATGCCGCGTTTGTTGTTGACGTGAAAGGACTGCGTACTTTTTTTCTCTGAAGTGTTTCAAGCCCAATTTTTTTCCTCCAACGTAATACTTATATTTATGATTTCTTCGTAGTATTTTAGACAAACGCTTTTCATGAAAATGCGAAATATTATTAATTTAAAACATATAATTGCAGCAGAATTTTCTGTGATGAATTTTTAATGTTAGTTTTTATCAAATTTAAAAAATTGAATATTTTTAACAATCTCACATTTTTTCTAAATAATACCAAAAATTCCTAATTCTGCAACCGGTACAACATTCTCGACACACAGGTTGCCTAGTTTAGAAAACTACAGGCGCCAGATGTGCATTTCTGCACTTGTCTGGAATCTGCCTGGAAAGCACTTGTTTTTTAATAAGTGTTTTTTTTTCCAAATGAATTTTAATATATTCCCTGTAAAAAAAGAAATAAAGTTTAACAAAAACCGATTTGTTTATTTAAATCACTAAAGCGTCTAAAAATATGGCTGAAAATATTAATACCATCCAGGTAGTTCAATAGTTAAATTTAAACTTGTCTTTTCCGAAGAAATTGTAAGACATAAAAAATTTGTTCCATCTTGATTTTTTTTTTAATAGTGACTCACAATTGTAGATTTTTTAAGACGAAAGTCCATCAAAAGAAGTTGCAAATATATTTAGCACATTTGTTTGCAGAAAGTTTCCATGGATGAGTATAAAATATCCGTGGAGAGAATAAATATTCTTTAGAATTTGTCCTCAAAAGCTCCAGGGCGACATAACAATCCACTTGTAGGAGATAAAAAGCAATAAAATGTTTTGTGAAGTGAATGGAAAAACCTCTAATATAGAAATCGATCGTCATCTCAATTCATGTTTAAAAAAAAATTGATACTTTCCTGCACCACTAAACTCTCTGGATTTCATGGCAAGAAGCCATAATTCAAAATTTGATCCCAATTAAAAAGCGATTTGCGATCGATTTACAACCTGATGATCGACTCGCGCTCATCAAAGCATTCGCCGGCAGTTACGGATTCCGAAACGCGTACATGAGTTGGCAGGGGTGCGACTTGATATGCGAGCATAGGTGAGCCGCAAATCATGTTTTCTGGCACGCCTAGCTGCCGAACGCCGGCGTCGGATGAAATACTTGAGCGCCAGTTTATTGGCACCGGCCCAGCTTAAAAAGGGTCAAAACTAGCAGTGCTTGAATCGCTCACAGACACCTGTCTCGGTGGCCAGACGCCCGGCAGCTGACTCAGTGTTCGAACCTGGTGCGTTCATCATTCATCATTATTCATGGAAATGCGTGTGCAAAAGCCCTCGGCGCGTTTGATAAGCGCACATTTGGTCTGGCAGCAAAATTAATGACTCAATGAGTCGTGAAATTCGTGCGGGGAAGGCTGAAATTTGATGGTCTCGTCGGCTTAAGCTGCTTTATTGCGTAATAAGGATGGATCGTCGGTGGGTCGCTCACTTGTCAAGGCCATTTGCAACTACTTACGCACACACGTGAAACGGCAAAAAGCGCTGCAAAAATAATGCCAGAGAGGTTTTTCATTTATTTAACGGTGCTTTTTTTAACATTACTCGTCGTTTTCGTTTGATGTTTATTCCGTAGCGCAGAGTTTGGTTTTTTTCCTTTTGAAAATAGCAGGAAAGCGTTGTCAAAATAAAGGGAAAAGGAAAAATATATACTAAAAATATATAATACCATTTTGGGGGAAACGAAGTGGTTTTTTTAACCCTGGTATGAATGAAAATTAAATATTATCAAGTTAACTTTGGTGGATTCTGCATTGCAATACTACCACAGTAAATTTTTTTAATTAAGTGAAGAAAACTTTGAAAAAATTTAGTTATAACCACAAATAATTTAAAAAAGATGATTTTGCATTACAATTTGGACAAATAAAGTAAATAAACAACAATAATAATAATAAAAGAATAGTCAACGGTGTGAGATTTAGACAGTCAATCTTTGGTTATGAACTTCAAATCTGCACGAATCGTGAAATTCGAGACAAATAATAGCCACTTAAATCTATATAATTTTCTAATACCCTCTAAAACCAGGCCCTAACTTTATAAAAAAGCTTAACATTTTCATCGTTTTTTTGCTTTTTACATCATATTACATACACAAAATCATGACATATCTATTTCTGAGACCATTGATTTCTACTTCCTAACCATTGCTGGTCTTGAAACTAAGGTGATTCAATAAAATGATGTAGAGTTTTCTTAATATTGGCGCAGATTGGCAAGATATTGAACAAAACAATTGATTTTGGTAAATTTTTAAACCGGTTTTTTTCCAAAAAAACATCTAAATGTCAAATTTTTCATTAAAAAATTAGGAATGCTTGATTTAATTAAACATACTAACAGTCCTAATCGGTGAACTATTGTTTTTCCAAAGGAAATTTTCCGGAATTGCTATTTTGAACTTCATTCGAAAGTTCGGAAACATACAAAAAAAAAGATTATTCATCAAATTAATACCGGCAAAAAATATTTTTAAAGCTACACCAAATGGATTTCAAAGCAGACACCCAAAAGGTTTCTCGATTTTCAAAATGTAATCAGCGGAAAATAAAATTATTCGAAATTCGAATCATCGCAAAAACGCAGCTAAAAATGGAATATTTTGAAAGGTACTCACCTCAGTGTCGTTCCAGTAGATGTGCAGGCGGTAGTTGTGCAGCACGTCGGGGCTTTCGTTGATGTGGTCGACGGCCAGCTTGACGGCGGGCATGACCCCGCGGCCCAACCGGGCCTCGGGCACGTGCTTGCCGTACGGGAAGAAGCCCGCAATGTAAACGTCCCGCCGGCGGGGCGGTGCTTGGGCCCTGGGGGCGGCTGGGGACGGCATCAAGCTGCCCGAGTTGATGCGCGTGCGGCCGGCAAGCGCGGAGGCGGCCGCCCCGGCCCCCGACGCCAGGCCACACGCCGCCACAAGCAGCAGCAGCAGCCTCAGCATTCTAGATCAGCTGTGCGCCCCCGGGGGCGGCCGTCTGCCTCCTCCGCCGACAAGCATTCCAAGTCTGTTGACAATCAAAAGAATGTTTAGTTTTCGTTTCGTACATTTTATCTGTTGAATAAAAGTAACAATAACTTAAAAACAGATTGGGAAAGTTAAATTTTATTTATTTGGCCTTAAATTTATTTTTAAATACTTGCTTTATTTGTTTGATATTAGGAAAAATTTCACCTTCATTTCCAATTAAGGCGACATTTTTGATTTGAAATTTGATTACAAGAATCCCACGTAAATTTTTTAGCAAAAGGCAACAAAAAGGATTTTGTTTTTCCTGAAAAAAATTCTTACAAATTCAATATATTTCTTAAATTCAAAATTAAGATCTTATTTTTATGATTTTGTTATAAATTTATTCTCAAGGAAGTCTTTGAAATGAATTCCAATGTTTGTCCTTAAAAAATAATATTATTTTTAAGTTTTGATACAAATTTTTATAAATTGTTCAAACATAAACAATACTAATAATTGTAATTCGGCAAAAAATACAAAGAAAATTCTCAAACTAGCAAAATATCTCAAGATTTTAGAACAAAAAAATTATAATGTTAAACTCTGTCTTAATTTAAAGGCACTTGTTAAATTTCCACTTAGTTTTATAGCATTCAAGATTATGTCACATTGAAATGTTTGCGTTTTAATGGTGCTCATGCACTCTTTTTATGGTTAAAAGAAAAAACTCTCGCAACACGCGCGCTACACAAAAGGTGATTTGTCAGCAAGAGTGCTAAGGCTCGAATAAACAATCAAAAGCAACGAGCCTCGTCGTAAAACCATTGCGGCCAATTATAAAAATAAAGACTCGAGATGGATATAAATATATAAAGAAGTCAAGAAACGGCAAGCACAGCACCAGCAGGTCTCGCGTGACTCGATTATTTTCGTGAACGTGTCACTGAAGGGGGAAACAAAGAGACCGCTTTGATATGGAAATTTGACATTTGAGAGATGTCCAAAATTCAATTATACTTTCCGCTCGCTTTGTCTCTCAAAAAGATTGATCCCAAAAGAGGCAAGCAAATAAAGAAAATTTTAACTGATATCTAGGCGAAAAAATTCATAAAAAAATTTAATTTAAAAATATTACTTAAAATTTAAGAATCTAAATAATTACATTAATTACTCAATAACACTTCATTATTTTGGAAATATAAAATTGCATTTTACTTTTTAAGTTTCTAAATTTGATCTATATGAAGCTAGCTTTAAAAACATTAGTTTTTTTTAGAACTAGTTAAAAATAAAAACTTCTGAGACTTCTCAAGAGACTTGGTCTAATTTCCCGCACAACCCGACCCTAGTACTATAAAAAGTGAAATGCGAGCGGATTACCAATTATCCGTGCTCTCCTCAACAAGTGAAGCACGTCCCTTCCTTATAACTTCTTTCAAAAGTAAAAACGCACCCTAGCGGCGGTAAAAAATGCAGAGCGCGCCCTCCACTTTGCGAAGGAAAGGACGGCTGGTGAGTTAGGGGCACTTAAAGTTGTAAAAGCAGGCAATTCACCTGCGCCTAAATAAATAAACTCGCATGCGAATGACAAAGAAAGGAAGGTTTCTCTCACCTGTTCCGCTCTCGTGTTTGGTCCGAACTGCAGTTCGTTGTCTCCGTTCGTTGGCTCGCTCTCGGGGCTGCGGGGTAGAAAGAGAGAGAGAGAAAAAGAGACGGCCTGTGGACAAAATGATCGAAACTTTTAACATAAAAGCCCTGCAATTAGGTTTATTGTCGTGTGTGTGCAAACAGAAAATATGTGCGCGGTGAATTCGGAGCAGATAACGCGAGAAACAATAATAACTCTGTCCTGCGGTGTGTGTTTTGTGAAAGGGAGGAAAAAGCTGATGCCGCGAGATAGCGGCTGGTTTTCCGTTCGCATTACGCTCTTTTGATACACATTCACTTTGCTGATCGTATCGGTCCGTTTTTTTATTTGAATCACGCACGTCTCGCCTGCTTGGAACATGCGTTAATGGCAGCGAATGTGGTTAAAAGGGCCACGGCTCAACTGGTTTTTTCCAACAAAAGCCGCCAAATATGGTCTGGTTGACGGCGATTTACACTGAATATGATCAACTTCAATATTCTGTCGGCAACCAGCAGTTCACACACATGACTTTTTATTTCTGCTATTGAAATTGAAAGTCAACTAAAATATTATTTTATATATGTAAATAATAATTATTTTAATTTTTACGGAATGTATTAATTAATATGTATTCTATGAAGTCACATTAGAAATATTTATTTTTCAATCATTTAGTGGACACATTTTCTGCATGAATTAATCAAATATAAAAATAAAGTTTGAAAACATAAAATGATTATTAAAAGATCCTCACTGAAGGGAATGCGAAAGACCATAAATGTACATAAAAAACCAATTAAATGATTTAAATTATAAAATTAATACAAAAAACAATGAACCTTTGTGAAAAAAGGACGTCTTCCTTTTTTTATTACTAAAATGGTTTCTAAAACCTTAACAATTACAATTTTGATAAAATTCTCAAAAATGTAAACAAATAAACAAGTGTTTAGAGAAACATGTGTTTTTAGTTTATACAAGGGAAGAAGAAGAGGATGTAAAACCAATTTCGACTTGAGAGAATAAAATTGCTTGTGGTCCTCCCAATCTAAAATATTGTACATTTTGAGATAATATTTTCTAAAATTCAATGAATTACCACAGGAAACTAAAAAAAAAGGAGAAACTGCAAATTTACTTTAGACCGAAAGTAATTAATGTTGTGAACTTGCAAGTGGAACATGCAAATTTTTAGTATGTGCATTACATTGAATAATTATAATGACAAAAATATGGAAAACCGCTATAATGGAAAAGGCAATTTTAGTGCAGCTTGCATATTTTTACACCGCGCTGAACACATATTTGCAGAACCGTTGGGCCGAGCTCCGCAGGGCATGAATTTATTCGGAGCGGCGGATAAAAAAAATGGTCCTGACACATCCACGGTGCGCGAGGGGATATTCCTGATTTATAAACGCCACTTGTCTCGGCCAGACTGCGCTGGCCGGGCGCACTTTTCGCCGCGGCTGCATTTCATTTTTATTGTTCCTGCCACTGAATCGCCGTGTGCGCACCAATTTCACCGAAAACGTTGGAGGTTTTTTGTTTTTCCCCGCGCGCGTGTGTGGAGAGAGAAAGAATGAAAGACAGCGGGATGCTTTTTCCTGATTAAGATTTGAATAAATTTTGTTGAGGCGCGCCCTCGCACTGCTGCTTTTTTATCTCTCCGAGTGGAATGTAAATCAGCGTATGAATAACGCATGATTGCTTTTTTCCCAATTCGTCCTCAAGCTTCGAGATCAAAGCCAAAAGCTCTCCTAAAATTTATAAATGCCGCAATCCTAAATAAATAAATTATCCTTACTTGATTTAAAAGTAATTTCCGTTTTTTTCCATTGCTTTTATTGAATTTAATTAAAGTGCTATTTTTTTTTAATTCCAATTATTAATAGCAATTTCAAAACAAACTTCAAGTAAATGATAACAAAATAATAAAAAATTTACTGTTAAATTTTACGTCAAGGAGGATAATATTCAGTTCTCCTGCAGAACTTTTATGAAAATTATTTTGTTTCGCCCCACAAAAGCCGCAAATTTTTGCGTCCCTTGCAAAACACAACGGGCGGATTAGCAGAATTATCCTGACGGTAAACAATGCTTGGTCCAACCACAGCTATTGTGAGAGCAATTTCGTCCGGCAGCTGCTTAATTCTAATTTACCAACGCGAGGCAGGAGCGTCGAACAAAAAGCCCTCTTGCGCGAGCGGCGAGAGCTTGATTAATAATTTTCTGCGTTGCCACTGAAAAGAACGACGGACAATTGCAAACGCAAACTTGGCACCGGCGTTTTCATCAATGTGAGAGGCGTTGTTGCTCAGCACTCTGGACAATGCAGGCAAACAAAACGCAATAATTCGTAAGTGCTCAACGGGAACCATTGAATTCAGTACCATACTTAGTTTCTAGTTTTATATTATTTATACACTCAAAACGATCAACAATAGAGGCCAGCAAATTATTTGCGCGGCAAATACTGAAGCATATTCTTTTGCGGACTAAATTATATTTAGAAGAATTAAAGTTTTATTGACAATTAAATTGAATGTGATTTTGATTCTTAATTTATTCATCATTTATGAAAAAACTTTAAATAAAAAAATAATATTAGTCTCTAAAATGCTTGATATTTTATTAATTTTTTAATTACAAAAGCTTTCATTAAAACCAAACCGATTTGAGTGTCTTTTCAGTGCTAAGTTTCAGTATATTATTTGTTTTAAAGATACACTAAAGGTCCATGTTGACAATGATTGATAACTGAAAATTTTATTTTCTCATTACGATTGACTTATTTTGGGATAAAGAAGTGTAAGTTTTTTATTTAAAACGCTTTTCATACACTTTTAAATTATCTAAAAGAGATTTTCATCAATTTATTTGGGAAATTTAGGCATAAATATTACGATGAAATTTTTTTTTTATAAAATTTTAAATTAATTTGAAGAGATGCAAAAAACCTTTGGTGACCAAAATGAACTGAATTGAAAGGGACGAACGCTCGTAAATATTTTCATCAATAAGAGGAAAATCCGTTTGCAGAGAACGAGAGCACTTATCGTGACAAGGAAGCGGAATGCAGCACCAGCTTGACTTTGAGAGAAAAAAGAGGCGCGGATAATTGGATTTTTAAAGAAATGCGTCGTCAGTGGCGCTGGCAATAAAATCAGTTTATTGCCGATCGCAAGAAAAAGAAAGTGAGAAGGAGCATCTGCAAGAAAAGGCTCTAACTTATTTCTCGGGACTCTTTTCGTTTTGCGGCAGTTTAAAAATGCTCGCTCGCATGTTTTTTATTTTTATTTTAATGGCGGGGCGTGACTGAACATTATTATTTACAAAAAGGCGAGCGAGCGACACGCTAAAGCTTTCACAATGCCTTTTTGGTGCGCTCTATGCTGAAGGAAAGGACTTGCTTTCGCCAACGCCGCACGCACAAAGAGCATTTTTAGCCTGTGTGTGTTTTTCGGGAACAAGAATACCAGCCAGTGTCCGCAAAAAGCTCACTGATGTTGCTTTCAATTAATGTTTGCATCGCGCCCGAAGCAAGCCAGGCGACGGAATCACCCTCTTGTACCAGCTATTAGGGGTGAATTATGTGGCGAAACACTTTTCACCGAGATTAAGCCACTCGCTTGCTTAAACAGAGGCGAATTTTTCCACTCTTTGCTCGCACCGAGTTAAAAGCCCTTTTACAACATTAGTGAAACCCTTGGAACCGATCGAGGTCAGGAAACTTTGAGATATTTCAAAGAGAAATTAAAATTTTAAATAATTTTGCTAGAATATTCTGACAACAAACTAAAAAAATTTGCCCGAAATTTCAAACAAAAAATTTAAAACATAAAAATCACTTGATATTAATAAATTTTTATTATTTGACTATTTTTCATTGTCAAGTGATATTTTAGTTCATCAAAACTACAATAAATATATCCGAATCAACCACAATAGCAATTTGTGGATAAAAAATTTAAAAAAGCCACGATCCTTAAACCTAATTAAAAAATCAGTCAATTTCTTCAAACCTCAGGATCCATTCTTTGAATTTAAATTAGAATAACAGGTTCAAAACTTTGAATTTTCATAGTTTTATTATACAAACGAAAAATATTAATTTTTCAATAGGTTCAAATTAATTTTAATTTTAGATTAAATTTCGAAATCCTGTTTTATTTGTGAAATCAAGCGAAATAAAATTTGACGCTTTTAGTTAATGAGCTGAAGGCAATCTTCTTATTACTAGAAGAAGACGTTGAGCCTGAAGTCGTCCTTTGTGGATGAAACTCGAACAATCCACTCGGAAGATTTACGGTCTTTGTTCGATCTCTAGCGGATTAAACAGCTTCCTCCTGAACACAAAGTTGCATTTGAGAGAAGAAGACCTTCAAATGCACCGAGTGTTAAATCTCTAGGCTCCACAGCGGAAAATTCCAATAATGTGTGTCGCGATTAGCGGGTGCTTTTCCCATCCACCTCTTTGAACAACAAACTTCAAGTTTAACAAGAAACAAATTGCTTTTTCGAGAGCATAAAATTCTTGTTCCGACCACAGAGAGAATATAAATGGAGCCATCATTATTTGCAATCGTGATAAATATTCAACAAATTAATCGGCCAAGTGGAAAGTGAGAAATAATCCATCACCTTATTCACCGAATTTGCAATGCAAATGAACCGATAACACTTGAGCGCTTTTGATTTAAGGTGTGCAAATCGAATCATCAACGTTGCCGGCGCCATTAACTATCTCGTCTGTCGGCGATCAAAAGCCGCTCTTTGTAGGGGATTTATTTGTTTTTTGGTAGACACGCCGCGAATCAGCTTATGATCGTATTTGGTTCTGTTTTAACTAGTAATAAGCCTGGCTTTGTAACTCTCTTTCCAATAAAACGAACCAAATATCTGCATTAAAAATGTTTTGTTTGCGGTTTTAAAAAAATAGTACCGAAGTCCGCGTAATTGGTTGTTAGTAACAAACAGTGAATTATTAAATACCGGAATACCGCAACCAAATACCAAATTCATTTAAAATTCTTTTGTGCAAAAATTTTTATTTGTTCATATGCAGTTAACGTATTGAAAGAAAG